TTTCCTCATCCATTTCACATGCTAGCAGAGGTGAAAATGTTTAATTAGTGCTTACATGTTATACTTGCCTTAGTTTCAAGTGTGGCTAAACATTTGGGACACCCCGTTCAAGAACTGCATTATAATGTAAGGCATGTACAATTTGTATGAAGTAGTGAAATGCAGAGATATCTTGGGTTATCTGAACAGAAGCTGCTCACTCAGCTTGTCCATGTAATGATGGTAAACACATGTGCAATGGCAAGGAATAAAGAATGTAAGTTACAAACATTTTTGCTCCAAAAATGTAATATCTAGAGATCTGGTATCTTTAGAAATCCATTATCTAGACACCATATGAAATGTGAATTTAATCCAGGTAGCAATCAACTGCTGTACAAGGCTTCCTTAAGCACTGTGTAAAGGCATTAGCTTAGAAGTCATTTGCAGAGAAATTTCATGTACATCTTCACACACTTGCCAGCCAAGGCACTCTGAGTCATTTCATCCACATCTGTATTTGGGCAAACCATTTCCTTTGGTATTTTATGCCATCTGTGGATCTTCATCTGCAGTTTATATGCCAGATGTGTATTGGCAGCATATGTGTACCAAAAGCAAAGATCCAGAAATGTAATAGTAAGCTCAGTGTTGCAAATAGATACAGTATTTGACATCTACAGGTTTAGTTTGCTGAAGGAATGCATTAAATTTACATATCAAGAGCAAAAGATACGGTTTGCTGCCTGCCCTCTAATTGTATGTCTCAAGAAGTCATTTTACAGGTGCATGAATAGCAGAAGACGGGAAGCAGTAATTCAGTTGATCCTAGCTATCTGCCATTGTGCTGTTATTTAAGTAATTTTTGCATGACTTGAGTATTCCAGGTGTTTTACAGCATACTTTGGCTCATTTAATCCTGGCTGTCTTGTGGAGGATTTCAAAGCCGCTGGTTTGCTATTAGATTTCTTTTGTTACCACCACTGAACCAATTAGTTTCTCTTGGTCAGTGTAGGGGTGAGAGGAGAGCTCTGTATACCCGTTTTAACATGATTACCAGAATCTCAGCCTTGATAGAAGAGTGGGATGGATTTTATGATAGTTTTCCCACTCTGAATTTGTGGATCGAGTAGCTCAAAAGGGTGAAACTGTACTAGGTATTCTGAAATGGATAACTAGTTAGCAGCACATTAGAGGCTGGCTTAGCACAGCCTCAGAGAAAGAAGAAACTGAACCAGTAACTGAGTTAATGCAGCAAGATATATATAAATCTATAGGAGAGGGTATGGTGGGAAGTGCTCTAAATGTTCAAGTTGTGTGGGAGGTATGCATACAAATCCACTCAACGCTTGAGTTACTGTGAGGCATATCCTTCCCACGCAGTATATTGGAAGAACTGAGGAGGTGTATTTTAGGAGAGCATAAGATCTGCTAAGAAAAGCATAACCCCTAGGCCTGCTAGGCAAGTTAGCTCATGCAGAGCTTTGTGCTCTTGTGGCTAAACTGGGTAGCTTGGTATAAACTGCAGTCTAAATTTAACTTTCAAATCTTTGTATTACCCAGAACTGTGACTGCAGCAGATCTTCCCTAAGGCAGCACTTAAACTGGTGAGGCCCCCCTCATGAGTAGGCATGAAACTTTGCTAATGAGCCCTGAAGCTTCTCATATTCCTCCTCTGAGACCTAATTGCTATTGTGAGATGTCAAAGGTCTGGCTGAAGTGAGCGCCTGGCTAAAAAGCAAATGCACTGCTCAGAGGATCAAAGTAATGCATTGTATTTCCCAGGGACCAGCAGCTGAAGCATGACCACTATCTTTCTGATCTTCAGGGTTTGTAACCAAGACTCCATTAGTCCTTTTTTGGCTTAAAAACTAGTACTCCTAAATCCTAGTTTTCTTTCTAAATGTAGATGCATCCAGAGCAGCCACACCTGCCCAAGCTCAATGCAGCTTAGAAATGTGCTTTTGAGGTGTGAAATCTCTTTGCATATTTGCTGTCTAAAGTCATGAGAGAACCAACTCCTGAACCATGGGGGTATTGAGGATACAGTAGCTTGAGCCCTGGCTCAAGTATGTTAAGTCTTCTTGTTGGGAGATCTACAGGATCATTTCTTATAGCTGTATTGTTCCTATGCCACACAGCTTAAATTCAGTCTTTGTTTTCAGGAGTTTGTAGACTCCTTGTGGTGAATATAAGTAAGTAAATGTGTAGTGGTAAAAGGTATAAAAATGGTGGCCTTTTATTCTCCTTGCTCTAAGAATACAGGTAGGAGATTGCTCAGTAGGGCGTCACATCTGCAACCTTAACTTTGCCTTTTTTGTTGATTATTTTCCTTGTGTGAATACCCAGCTATCCCTTTCCTTTGCTCTTAAGAGTGTATTTTTTTGCTTGTATTAAGAGAGGCAGTTTCAGAAATGAGGTATCCTGATGGACAGAAGTAGGTTTGCTATGTTAGTCAGAAAAATTATGATGAATACAGTTACAGTAAGTTGTGTGAGAGCATGCAAAGACTTAATTGTCCTGCATTTAGTTAGGAGACTTAGATGTATTTAGTGTTACAATTTAGAGCTGATTCTCAATAGGGGTGTACCTTATAACCACTTAGTCCTTCTTTGTACACTACCTGTTACCTCTGCTACTTGTATTTGCGATATGCTTAAAGCTGCTATTAATCTTACTGGACTTTAATAAGCTATTTATAAAGATGTTCTGGAAATTATGATTTGATTCCTTGAAGTCAGCTTACCTGGTTTTTAAGTGTTAGCTCCATAACTTTTTAGTATATAACTAAATGTACTATATAACTATGACATTTTCTGTTTTGTTACACTTATAATGCTGAACTTTGTACATGTGGCTGTTAATTCTATTCTCACACTGAATGCTCTGCCTCAAGTTGCATAGATGATGAGGGAGTGTTTGTAATGCATCGGGCAAGCACCTTCCTGTGTGTGGGATGCCCAAAGGCAGAGGATACCATACATCAGTGATGGAGGTGCATCATCTGGCTGTGTTGATACAAAATTAGGAAAAGGTATCTCACAAAGCAAAAGTCAAAATCATTTTGCATGCACAGTTGCTACAGGGAGCTTGGCTGTAAATTTGCATGTAAAATGTGTTCTGGCCTTACCTTACAAGAGACAGGTTTAATGGGTTTTGGACCCCGCTGGGTAGGTGGCTTTTGGATATCTGTTAATGTTTAATTACATGGAATGTGCATTTAGTAGATTGTGCAGTTATCACCTGGAAACATTAAGGATGGAACCTGTGAGCTGCTGATAGCCCCTGATTGCAGAGCTCCATGGGTGCTAGTGTTGCAAAGATGAGATTTCTCATTTGTGGCTTCCTTTCAGTGGACCTTTTCTCTGGCAGATACCTGCACGGTCTTGTTAATAAACCCTGTAACCCATCTCAATAAATGGAGAAAGCTGCTGCATAATCTATTAATAGAACTGAGATTTCCAAGTCTGGATAAAGGTAAACATACAGCTAGGCAGACTGAGGCTTTTCCAGTGTCATCTGCTCCTTGGGTGAACCACTGAAATTCTCTGGGATTTTATTGTTTTTCCTGGTTGTGTTGTAGGAAGGCTAAGCAATAGCTGCTTTCTCTACCCAGAGTGTGCAAGTAAAGAATTGGAAATGGGAGTACAGCAGCTGCTCCCTTCTGTACAAGAAACAAACAGGTGGCATAAATAGGTGTATTCAGCTAGCTGCTTTGCCCTGGCTGTTTCAAAAGATGTTAGTATTACCTGTCACTAGGTTTTTCATTTCCCAGGGAGGTTGGGGGCAAGTGTTTTAGAGATTAAGTAGCTCAGAAAAAAAGTGATTTTCTAGTCAGCTGGTAGCATGTAACCAGCCCAAAATGCAGCTGCAAGAAGAAAGGATAAATTAAAATGTAGCAGTCGGGGAGGAAAAAGAAAGTGAGCTTATTTGCTGACAAGAAATGAAAGGACAGTTCCCTAAAATCAGGAAACTAAAAGGAAAAGTAGCAGTATTTCAGGATAAGAGAGGCATGTGCAGCAACAGCACAGTCAAAACAAGAAGTGATGTATGCAAACAAACCTTAGGCTGAGGAATACCACCCGAATGTGTCAGCCTGACTGTTTTTTTAATCTCATTTTGGAACACAGAGCCAGGCAGCCTGGGGGGAAAGGGATTAAGACTCTGCCTTTTGTCACTGGCTTCAATCAACCCAGGTCAGTAGTAACTAATATTTGTGATAGCTGTGATGGCAGCCTTTGGATTTCTCTGAAATCTCTGTGCTAGCCCAGCTGTTAGCTGGCAGAAACCCTTTAAACGCTGGTCCCAGTAAAAGGAGAAAGTAAATGCAGTGTTCTTTGACAGATGAGCCCCAGAATGAGGAAGTACCTTGAATGTCTAGTTTTGCCTGTGCGGTAGCTTAGAGCAGCACAGCTTCCAACAGTTAAGGCTCTAATATGTGTCTTGGTTTATGCTAATATACTAGCTACTCAATGACAGAGCAACCAGAAGAGCTTGTTGAAGAGTTGCCCTTGTTTAGAAAAACAGTAGAATGCTGCAGTGGCACAAGTTCCTTAATTTTTTTTCCGGAGATGCCTATTAGCAGAATGTGGTGTTTCTACTTCTGTGTTGAGAATTCCAGTTACCTTGCTGGGAGGATCGCTATCCATCTATTTTCACAAATGCTAAACCTCCTTGTGCTGAAAGAATGGAATCACTGGGAGCTGGTCTAAATGTGAGGCTTAACAGTGGTGCTGGGAGAGCTTGTGTGGACCCATCAAAGGGAATTTATTTCTTATCCATGGGAAGTTAAGGGCTGATCCTGCTCCTATGGAGGAGTTACCTCCAAAGAGGACCCAAATAACAGATTCCTAAGAGTCTACAGCAACCTTACTGTTAATAATTTTCTAAATAGAATATTGCTGCTCTCTGGCAAATGTTTGCTGCAGTACAAGTGTAACGCATGGAAGGATTTGTGCAGATAAACTCCATGCACAGGTAACAGTTGCATGATTTCAAAACTGGTTTGTGTTCTGTTGCAGGCTTGTGATGGTTCCATTTACCCTAGCGTTCATGGACAGGTGAACTAGCTTTAGTAACCAGATCTTCAGCAAGGAGACCTTGAATAAGCAGCATGAAAGGTAAGAGATTTCAGAGATGTTGTACAGGCAAAGTAAAGGCTCAGCCAAGGATGGCTTCTCAGATTTTGAGTGGCAATCTGAAGAAAAGGCCAGATACTCGAAATCTGAATACTCAAACTGATTGAATGGCATAAATGGTACCAATGTTAGAGAAGACTTATCCGAATTCTGAGTAAGGGACACATGCTAAAACATATTTGAGGGAGATATCTTACAGAGACAGAGGAAACTTAGTAGCTCCAAAAGAAGTAAATAATAATACTCCTTTCTCACGTAAGTCAAGATGACTGTTTTACGTAAACAGATAAGGGTTAAAGTGTAGGCTGGACATCAGAAAAAGAATCTGAAGCCATAATAGCATGTATTAGAATGGATCAAGGGGATGGCTGAGGTACTGTCTTTGCAACTTTTAAGCTGGAGTTGACAAGATGCTGACAGAAGTCCAAGTAAAAATTTCTGTGAAGAATGGGCAGGGAGGTCTGGCTGGAGGGCCTCAGGCCTATCATCAGTGTGCTGTTGTCATAATGAGGCCTCTTTTGTGTTATAAAATGGTCTACTTACTGTTCCCTGCCTATGTGAATGTATCCAACTCCAGTCACATCCAAAGAAGACTGGTCTGTAACTGTTCAGGTCTGGGCCTGTACCCTGGATAATGGCTTTTTTTCTAGCATGCCATCCATTTCAGTCCATCTTCCTGTCTCTGAATAACCCTCACAGCATAAGGCATGAACCATTAAATTTGCCTGGTCTTCTCAACTTTGCCACTGTCCCTGGTCAGGTTTCAGCTTCAGATTTGCCAGTCTGAAATGCATGGATCCTACACGTGAGCGTTATTAGGGCAGTTTCAAAACTGTTCTGTCAATGTTGTCTTCCATAAGCTGGCTTTGGGAGAACTACTTGGGCAAGCTCAGTTCACTAAGTATGAACTAGGGTTGTATCGTGCTGTGTGAAGATTCATTTATGGCTTTGTGCTTAAGTGTACCAGAGATTATGGTCAAGTCATGTAGCCTGTTCACAGAGGCATTCAAGAGCATTAGGGCCCACCTATATAGACTTTAGATCTAAGCCTTCAACTCTGCCATATATTCTTACTGGAAAAAGATGACATTTCCTCTCAAAAGGAATCTCATGTTTTTAAATAATGAAATTGGGAAATAACTTCCAATTTCTCAAGCATATCAGAGCCTTGGACTGAAAGCATCCCTGCCTCGGCTGGACAAAACACGTTTTTCCCATATGGTCTCCTCTTCCCTCAAGTCAAAGCAATAAGCAAATGCTCTTTATCCAAGCCAGAGAAAGGTGAGGAAATCCTGATACTTTCTGCGTAAGGAAATCAGTGTAGTGTAACATCCTCACCTCTGGCTGGTATCTGTCCAAATCCCTGAGTGGTTCCAGAATCTTAACAAGAGCCTGGCAGAGCCTGAACTCACTTCTTGCACCTGCTAGCACATTCCTGTTGCATAATGGAGAAAATAATCTGTGGGCAGCAAATGTGGGGAGGCTGACTGAGGCTGTAACATCACTGTGACAGTTCAGCCTTACACAGACATGAGGATGGAAGTGTATAGAAGAGAAAGTGAGACAAGAGTTTGCTTTGAGCAATGTGAGTTGAAGTGAACTTGAAAAAGTAAATGACTAGAATACTTTATATTATTTTAGTAACCAGAGAAATCATGGTATTCCAGGCAAGCATAGCATTTCCCTTCACAATCTAAGTAAAACTAATTAGAAATGGTGTCATTAGAACAAAATGGAAGCAGATGCATGTCAGGGGAGCAGTCTCAAGACAGATCTTGGTAATACTGCTTTTATTGGAAGAGTTTCTGGGAGAAGAGTAAATATGTGATTGTGAGTGATGATAGAAGATTAGGAAGAGCTAACATTCTCCTTCAGAGAGGATGAGAGATAAGGACTGTTACAGGGAAGGAAGAAATGCATCCATTGCAAAGAAATTGGCAGTTAAGTAGAGACAGCAGATTTAGGTTTGCAATATGTAAGTAGGAATAGAAGAGTAATAACGAGGTAAACTTGAGAAGAGCCTTGAGAAATAAGGGTAGATTTTGGTATGGACAGCAGTTGCATTCCAAACCACAGATATCTGTCTTTTTGCTAGGCTGTGAATGATTGAGGTTGCTGTGCATCAAAACTGATCCAGATGAACCATATTAAGCAGTAAAATGAAAGTTGCTTTTATAACATATTCTGAATAAGATAGAAGATTAATGGAGACCTGTTGATCAGGTCCTTAAATTTGCGAACTATTTATAGTTCTGAAAATGAGTTATGTTCAGGAGCCTGAGCTTCCAGCTATCTTATGACTGTTTCTAATGTGGGAAGATACTGTCATGCCTCACCTTCTCTGAATGCAGGAAAGTGCTTTTGTTTTTTCAAAGATGATGCCTAGAGTGAACTCTACATGCATTGAGTGATTTTGTCATCCCCCATTGTCCTCGCTATGCCCTTTCCTGCGTTTTCCCTAAATACCTACATATGGGCTAAGAAAACTGCATGGAACAAACTGCTAAACATATGGTATTTGAAAGGATGCGCGGGAGTACAGATTTAATTTTTATCATCTCACTTAAGCAGTCGTATTATTCAAAAGCTCAAAGAGTCATTCATTATTCATCAGCCATCTTTCTCCCAGGTTGATTGCCAAGCAGAGTTGCGATGCGGCAGCCTTGCTAAGTGGGAAATGGGATGAAAACTAGAGTTCTGTTATGCAGGGGAATTACTTCTTCTGGTAAAGGTCTAGTTTTCAGAGCTTCTAGCATAACTGAGCAGAAAAAGCAAGTGCAAATGTTTGGACAGAGTCTGGTGCTTTGAAAGATATTAATGCAATCAACTCCTTCCAGTAGGAATAAATCCAAGGTAGATTTAGCTAGGGATTCTTATGTGGATAAGCTTTCATCCTGGCTTGGAGGCTGCCTCAAGTGCACAGAACACCAGGAAGTCCAGCTGGGTGGTTCTGACAGCATGTTCTGGCTGTAGAGTAGATGCACTATCAGATGCTTTCTTTATATGATGGAGGAGTCACATCAGGGGATTTAGAAGAGCCACCTGTCTACAGTTTATCTTACACTTGAAGAAACAGCTAGCCCATATTCTCCCCATATTGTCAATCTGAAAATGCCTTTTGGAAAAGCAAATGTAGGAATTATGACTGGATCCTTCAGCTTGGTATATAAAGTAAACACTTAAGAGTTTGGTACGGTGATGAATTTAGCTGAGGGTAAACACATTCAGGAATGTCTAGAAGTACCCTCTAGACCTTTCTAGCTAAATTACCCCATGCTCATAGAATCACAGAATGGTTTGGGTTGGAAGAGACCTTAAAGATCATCCATTTCCCAGTGCAGTACTGAGCTCAGCCTCCATTTTCAGGACAGTGGATCACAAAAGTATGAACTAATGATCAGATTGCCAGCTCCTCCAAGTTATATACAACTTAGTTCTACTTCTCAACTGTACAGATCTTGATGTTGTTATACAAAGGCAATTTAAAAGGCAACTTGGTTTACGTACTTAATATGTGAATCAGACTCTAGGATGCCGACAAAGCCATTTCACAGGGAAGGATGCTTCTTTCTTCTGTGCTGCCTGAACTTCTTCACCCTGCTGTGATGCTTAATGGAATCTTTGTATGAACTGTGAATGCTGATTTATTTGAGCCATTTTGAGCACAGTTTCTGTGCTTTTTATCAGCTGTGAGCTGATAGGAGCCTGTGTCATACTTGAACTTTGGAGGCAGCTAATGGACAACACAAGCAGGTGTTAATATAACCTATTTATATTCACAAATATGAATATGCTAAAAGAATCTACTTAATTAAAGGAAACTCATTGTCCAAGGCTGTCTGAATGGGATGGTCTAGCAGCAGCTAATTTTTACCAGGACAAGTAAGGTTTTGGACACTGACAGCTGAAGGGACCTTTAACTCAGATGCTTGATTTGCATACTGTGGTTAGTGTTTTAGGGCCAGAAAAAAACTCAGTCTGTGAGCAGCAAACAAGGAGGGCCTAGAAAGCTTGAAAGGGCTTCAGGGGAAAAAGGTGGTTTTATTTGCAGACCTGTACAGGGCCAATATCTATGAAACCAGGGAATGTTTGCAGCATACTGTGCGCAGTCCTTGGACTGCAGCAGATACGTCCAGTGAGGGTGAAGTGGCAATCAAGAAGCATTGTATCCAAGCCAGTAAGATGCTAGTTATGGGTGGAGGGTATTATTGGGTGCCACTCAGTGCAAACTCTCCCAAGGAGAGACTGAAGGAAGTAATAATTGTATGGTGCTCAGCTGCTAAAAAAGCTGAATACTTCAAAATTCAGGTCCCAGGATAGCCTAGAGCGAGATGAGGTGCTACATCAAGTCAGCAGGAGCTGCTGGTTTATAGCTACAAGTACAGATTTAACAGCAAAATGTTCCAGGCAAACTTGCTTCCAAAGATGAAAGGAAGCTGTTTGATACCCAGGTGAGGTGCCTGCAACCTGAATTTCATGGGTAAAGTGTGTTCTAAATCAAACCTGCCGCAGAGCACTGAGAAGGAAGTAAATATTCTACTGAAGTAGAAGCCCATTTTGTGATTTAAACCTAGCATAAAGTTCCCAACCAGGTGCACAGGCCTTTCAGATCAGAGCTCTTGAAGATCTGATGGGTTCCCCATCTGTTTGTATACTAACAATCTGTTTCTATTTACTTAAGCCAAGCATAACTTAGGATCCAGAAATATATCTTTACCTTTCTTGCAATAAAACTCTTGTCATGTTTTGTGAAATCTCATAGCCAGTTCTCCATGCAGTTCTTTGGTAGCTGCTTAAATGCTTGATTTGAGCTTTGGATCAGGCACCTTGTGCCATGCTGTATGTTCTGGGCCAGATGTAGATGCAGACTGACACTTAGAGCAGTTTTCCACATTTTTTGCTTGAAGATGCTAGGAAATAATTGCAGTCTAAACCAACTTTCTCTGTGTGTGTATTTAAAAAGAGCTTTTTATTAATTCACCCTTA